TATTAACATAGTGACCCCACAAACCTCCAATCACTTTGTTTCACTTAATGATCTAGCCCTCTTTTGAGGCTCACAAGCTATGGCAAGAGAATTCACTGAGGAGATGGCTGAGAAACCTCTGAGATATTTTAGCCTACATTGTCAGATTCCTTCTAGATGGACAGCTCCAGTGCATGTGTGTGATGTACTACAAACTCCCGATAAATCACCACTGAAGTTTTATTTAAAAGAGCTATAAACTTTCATAGCAAACTACTGAAGCAGGCTTCCCCCAATGGCCATGCTGGCTAGAAATGATGGGTGATGTACTCTGGGCACACCTGGAAGATACTGATGGGGAAAGGCTGCACTAAGATGAGTTCAAACATTTAGATTGCTAGCCCTGTTTTACGAGAGATTATTATTACACAGGAAGCCCCAGCCTGACAATAATACTTTTTGGGACACTTCACTGCATTGATATGGGGCATCATTTCTGCACAGCTGTTGATTTTGGTCAATTCCCCTCTCCTGTTGCAGCCTGCTAAGGAGAACTGGCTGCAATCAGTTGCCTCCAGAGGAAGATGCTGAGAGAGAGCAGCAAGGCACTGGGAGATTGCACTGTACTTCACAGTCTGTCCCATGTTTCTTAAACTAGCCTGCTTCCTTCAGGTGTGGAGGATGCCCTGCGTGAAAGGAAGATTAAGCTGCTGCCCGTCCCTTTGGCCTGTACATGTACAATGGGAGCAGGCACCATTTTGTTCTTTGCTGCAGACAACAAAGTATCTTGGGCAGGTCCTGAAGACAGTTTCCACAGTGTTCTGCAACACCCCCTCCTTCAGCCCTCTGGAGAAGCTTTTTAATGGCATAGCTACCTGGAACAGAGAACTGGAATCCATTGCACAATCTTGCCTTCTGCTTCCACAGTGCAAGCAAGGCAGATGGGGGACTAAATCAGGCAGGTGACTGGCAGGAAAAGATTGCAAGGCCAGAGAACCAAGTAGAAACAGGCAGGGGCAAAGCGAGGGGCAGAGTCTGCAAATGGCACACACAAAGTATATTTGTGGCACAAAATCTGCTAACAGAAAGGCAGGTTTTAGAGAGGCACAAAGGGGGAGTCATCAAGCATAGTAAGGAATGGGTGGAGCAAGGAAAACAAGTTCAAAACATTTAGCAAGCTTATTATTATGATCCATGGTCAGCGCCCGCCCCCGCAAAGAAGGGTGAATCTTCTGCTCAGAAGGCAGATTGGAGCAGTGGTACATCACTTCGTGCCACTGCTAAGACCCCACAGAGATGCAATAGTTCAAAGGCCAGGGCTGTAGCCCAGGTCCCAGAAGGGTAGGGGCTGGTTATGAAACAGTTCACAAGTCTGAAATATTAAAAGGTGTCAGTATGACATGGTCTGAGACACTCTACTCTAGCTGATAGATATCACCTCCCTGGATCAGGACAGGAAAGGCACATTTGTCGGCACTGTAAGAATCAGCTGGCAGTGAAATGCCATTCAAGGACAAACTTCAGTGCAACTCCAAGGGGTTACACACAGGAACAATTCACTCTGGCTTTTTCAAGCACATGCAGATACTTCCCGGAGAATCTCTTTAGAAAATCAGGACTCACCTCATGCAGCTCAGCCTCAGGCAAGAGACCTGGGTGTATTCCAGCACATGGCCAAGAACTTGCTTGGGCTTCCAGGTGTGCTTCATTGTTTTCACTGGCTTCTACAGCACTGATGTCCCAGTTCATCCTGGGACTGCATCAGGTCATGTGAAAGGGGAAGCAGCCGTTCCCAGCCACATTCCAATGAGAGCAGTGTAGCCAAAAATAGGATCCTGAAAGAAGATGCATTGAGAGGGCAGAAGAAGAAGAAATTGCAACTCTCTTTTTCACCTGTTGATTCAATTTGGTAGGGCCACTGGAGACTCTGAAGAGATTGGTGGCATGCCTTGGAATTAGGATTGTTGACTATAGAAAAGATTTATGTATGCATCCTATAGTTACATAATTGCACAGAACTGATATGATGAATTTGAACTGCAACATAGGAACATAGGAAACCACGTTATCTACCAAGTCAGCTCAGTGGTCCATATAGCTAAGTACTATGCACAGTAATTGCAGTGGCTCTCCAGGATTTCCAGTCATTAGCTCTCCTCAGCCCCATCATGCCAAGCCTGGGTTCTCCTGCATTTCAAGAGTACGTGCTCTACCCCGAGCAGGCCCTTGCCAGCAAAACATCTCATTGGAGGTCTGCCCAGCTGTTTCATGTATGAGCAAAATTGATGCAAGGGCTGGGGTGGTCAGCTGGTTTCTCCTACCCATGCCAAACAAAGGACTGCAGAGTCTTTTCCACAGATGCCTGAAATATATTCAAAGCAATGAACTGATTTTGTTTGATTGAGACAGCAGAATGCCCAAGAATACAAACTGGCACTAGCTAAAAGGCTTCATGCACATACAAGTGCAGAGGTCAAGTTCAGGAGTTCTCTGCCATTGTGTCCCTATACTGGCTCTTTGCTGCTTCAGTCCAGCTCTGCCCACTTGAACCACTGGCCAAGAACTCTTCTTACATGTCTAAATACAGCACTGAATTCTGAATACTACCTGCAACTTTTCTGTTTCAGATTTTCAGTTGCCCAGTACCTTGTTTTCCTGGCGAAATGAAACACCCTGTGTGGGCTAGAGGAGAGACTGAGAACAGCCAGAAAATAAAGAACATGCTGTCTAGGGAGGTGTGGACTCCATTCCACCGGCCTGCTCCTGAGGCTACAGGGCCCTTCTGCCCTCATTCTCAAGGTAGATACTCCCTTCAGGTTTCGGAGTTGAGAGTGACAAACAACAGCAAACATAGCCACAGCAGGATGCCAGCTAAACAGGAGAGCAGTGCGCACCGGAGTCTGACCCTAGAATGCCGAGGAAGAAAGCATTTCTACCCCAGTCAGTCCCACAGCTTATAATTAAGAACTGCAGCACACATTTTCCCTGTGTTTCCAGGTGCACATCTGAGGGACTGAGCCAATTTGTTTTTCTGAATTTTAATGAAAGGTTTTTCAAATGGGTGTGCAGTGGACGGAGCCTATGTGGGTCTTGGTAGAAGGAAAAGCAGCTGAATCGGGAAAGACTGCTGAGTGAAGCGCAGATACACCACAGATAGGCTTTCTGTGCCTGGTTAAAGGCTGTGGGGTGTCTAGCTTGTGCATTCCTGTACAAGAGGAAAACAATACTCTGGATCTCTGCCATCGCCTCTCAGATTTTGAGGGATAAATACAGCAACAGCAACAACAACAAAAGACAATGCTAAGAATGCAGTCTATCATACCAGTAGAACCAGAATACTAGAACCAAGCAGGAGTTCCTGATTCCCTCTTATAACACAGAGAACAAATGGTATCAATGGAGTACCTCCCAGGAAAACAGGCTACATCACAAGCATGGTTCTTCCATGTAGGGGAAATAAACAGTGGTGAGGCTTCAGCAGCCCTTGCCTAATTTTCTTTATGAACCACAAACATCTACGTAGGTTCAGAGCAGCCATTACTACAGTTCACTAGAGGGAACAGAAGGAACAGACTGGGGGCCCACCAAAACTCAAAGGGGGTGGGGTCAACCTTCATTCTCTTGAAATTATTGCTGAGCATTGGGGCAGGCATTAAAAACTTCCATTCATGGTTCATCAGCATCTTTCAAATTGATTGCTTTAGTAGGGATGAACAAATCTGACAATTTCATTTTTTCAGTTTCTCATTTTTCTAATCTTAAATTCAGTTTATCTCAAACTTCATGAACTTTTTAAAATCAGTATGCATGCAAATCTCTATGCATGTTTTGCATATTTGTTCTAATATGTACATATTTTATGCAATGTTGTCTAATGAACACATTTACATGCAATATTCCAAACTATATTTTCACGATTATATGCATTTGGCGTACTTTCCTATATCTTTGTAACTCATATTTATTGAAGAATTCCATTGTAAAAGATCAGAGATGTGTATTTGAAAGAGTAATATTTTCAGAACAATTGTTGGTTCAGAAATGGAAAGTTGCTTGCTTGTATTAAATGCGAACTGAACACAAGTCTCCCCCATTCCTATACTTTAGTGCTATAGACAAGCTGGTTGCACAGCAAGCTTTGCAGTCAGCCCCCACACTTTTCCGATGTCTTATCTGGCTGTCAAAGTTTGTGTTGGAGCAGTTCCCTTCCCACCTCCACTTATACTTTGGGAAAGTTCCTTCTTTTCCTTTGATGAGAGCTAATTTCTCCCTCTGGGCTAGTTCCTCCCTCTAAATCATTATTATTATTATGCATTTAAGAATCACCTTTCTACTTAAAGTGTGCAAGGTGATATACAATAAAATGTTGGGGTTCAACCTTTCCTTTGTATTAGCTGTTTACTACTGATGGCTTAACTATATGCTCTCACCTCCCCCTTTCAGGTTTCTTCATTTAGGTTACTGCCAGGTTGTCCTGTCTTTTCCTACTCCTGGGGGCAAGATGCCTGTGCATAGTTCAGTGGTGGCAGATGGGGGAAAGAGAAGCCACCTGAGTGGGAACTGCTAGAGGGAATCTGTATGGTGGGCTGCTTCTGTCTGCTTTCCCCAAGGAAAAGATAGCTCATCCAGTAGCCTTGTCTTTGGGCTTTTAACTGATTGTAATGTTCAGTTCCTGGGAGAAGGTGGCCTACAACCCATGCTGAGAGAGGTTTTTGGTCTCCCTCTTTCTTTTCACCAAGACCTTTTTCCTGCATCTCTACAAAGTCCCTAAAATATGCAGAAACATTTACCATATCTGCTGATAGCACCATTCCATTTCCATGCTTTGGCATAGGACCACTTAGGTTTGCTATTAGAGACATGATGCTACTAAAAACAAAAGCCACTCTGATCTTGGGAAAGCAGGCAGCCAGCCAGTAAGATCAACCAGGCCCTGAGCTTCCAGTTGGATTCAGAACAGGAAACCTCTGTTCCAAGTGTGTATTTCAGTGTACGACAAAAGCTCAGGAAGGTGTGTGATGTGAGTGGTGGAGCTTTTTTATTTCCATATTGTTGCTTCCTTCTTTGTAGATTGCACAGCTAGGAGTTCTACTCGACTAGTTACAAAGTGCATATTTTAAAAAACTGCATTGCAAAAGTACAGTTGTGCTTGTGTAGATGGTGGCTGCACAATCACTAGCCAAAACACAGGCTTTGGTTCTTGTGTGGTGTGAGGCCGTCCTCCTTTTCAGGCTGCCCTGAGTCCCACTCACTTAGAAGCTCAGAAGCAACTTCTATGTAAAGATGGTTCCAGTCCCAGCTGACATCATCCTGGCAGGAAGAAAAAGAGCATAACAGAACTACTACGTAGAGAAATCAACTACATTATCCAAATGGCAGTAAGAAGCTTGTGTCTTGAGGTATAGCAGGGACCAAACTCTTCTAACAGGCCTGCATATTGTAAAGTGTTGGTTTTAATCCCTGTCACTTTTAGAACAACTTCACAGTGCCACTTGTAGAGCAACCTCATGCATGTTTAGACAGAAAAAAGCCCTGCAACTATGGCTGACTGGGGAGTACTGGGAATGGTAGTAACCTTTGCAGTTTTAGAATACATTTAAGTTCCATTTTAGATATTGCGGTGCTTTATATATTCATAGATAGGCAATAATTTAGGCATTTTCAACGGTATCAGATTGATTTACAATACTGTTTTGAAAGCCTTGAGAAGCTTCTCTTGAATAACAAGGTTCCAGGCTCTTGCACATCTGCTTGCTGTGTTATACCGCTTTATCTCAAGAAGAGCCACAGTGGGCTAAAATCCCAAAATGGCCCCTGAGCCTGGCAATCTCACCGCAAGACATACATCGAATCACTCTCCCCACAGCTGCCTTTCATGGGTTTCTTCTGCATTTTGTGTATCTGCACAAGGCTGGATAGATATGTTCAGCAACAGGCTGTACTTAACCCCAAAAATGACCAGCTCACAACCCCAAGGACAGGGAACCTGTGTTGGTAGGAAAGGGTCACAGGAGAATGGCAGGGCATGGCCTTTGCATGCAAACAGTCCCAGTACTGGTCCATGACTGCTAAGTAGGATTTGGAAAGACCCACTCTGACCTCTCAGATTGCTGCTCCCAGGCCATGTACGTAATAGCAAACTGAATGGACAACTGGTCTGGCTCAATGTAAGACAACTTCTTAAATGAAACTATGATGAATGAAAGAGGGTCACCAGTGCAAACACAGCCTAATCCCTATCTAACTGAGGGGCAGACTCAACAAGCAGGTCAGTCTGGTTGGTTCTGAGTAAACTCACTTCTTGTACTTCCTGCTCTGGAGCTAGAACCTTACTGAGCAGCTTCAGGTCAATCTCTCCATCCTGTGGGAAAACACAGAAAAACCTAGTTTGAAATCCAACATCAGAAAAGCAGACTTCCACTCACTCAGTGGGACTTCCCCTTGTTCTCCTTCCCAACCCCACACACCTCCCAATTCTACTCCAGAGAGTCCCACCTAATCTACCACAGCAGACTGGGTGAACACCTGCTGGACTGGAAGAGAGGCGGAACAGTCTGTTCCACCAGTGGCTTCCTTTCCTCTGATGATTGGTTAGCACTGGATTCAAGCCATCATCCTGTTTCCTAGATCAAGAAGGGGTGTGCCCATTCATGCAGTAATTACAGGGCACTTCTATTTGTTTTCTGGAAATCCTACACAGCCAGTGATGGTGCGAAGCTGTTCATATCCACTAGCAACTGGATAACACAATGATTTTCAATAAAAAACCTAGCTGTGTTACCATTTTGGAAATATCTTCTCAGGAAGGCTCTGCAGTTATAACTGGACAATACAATAAATAGAGTAGATCAATACAGAGTATCAGTAAGATTTTTTCAAAAATGAATGGCCTCAGGAACGAAATATCTTTCTGAAAGACGTTGGGCTTATTTAAAGCATTTTTAGGTACTTGAGAAAATCCCCTCCTCTATTTTTTTAACATAATTGTGCCTTTTCCTGTCACTGGATTTCAATAACACTATCATAGCCTTTTAATCTCCAAGTGCGGTCTATGCTTTGTCATAGCTCCAAAGTATAAAAGTGACCACTTTTTCCCACTGGAGGGAAGGCAGCTCTGCCAAATGAATTATAACTAATTGATAGCCAAAGACCATTAAAGAAAGAAGAAGTGCACCCACAATGTCTCAACTAACCATGAAGAATAACACCAAAGAGGTACTTTTATCCAGGAGAACACCAAGGGCCACATCAGCAGTATGAGCAACACATTCACATGGCCTTAAAATGGAGTGAAGAGTGATGTCTTGGGGGTGGGAGCAAAAGGTGCCTTTTTTTTTTTTTTTTTTTGGTGGCAGCAGCAAAGGACTGCCATTTTCTTCCAATAAAGGCAGGGAAAGCATACATTTCCATTTGGCTGAACTCACCAAGGTCTGAAAAGCGGCATACTTCATAAGATCATTGTCCAGGTCACGGTAGGTCAGTACTCTATTCACTTGAACACTGCAATTGGGAATAGAGTAAAAAATCAGGTGGAGGTACTTTACGTCCCTCACCAGCATCCGTAACTGTGTTAATTATCTAACAGTTCAAGCAAACCTCCGCATAGCACAAAGTTTAGTTGAGAAACAGATCCACTGAAGACAACTATTTTAGTACACGGGCTGCTTTGGCAGCTGTAATCATCTTACCTTGGTGGGGCTGCCACCTGCATGGCAAAGTCTTCCTCTTGAACCTCCTCCAAGTCAGGGATCACTGGAATATCTGCAAGGGTGGAAAAGTCATAAGAAAATAGAATTGCTACATGTTCTCCTCTTGAAGTAGTAAATTGGGCTGGGGCAAATCTTAGTTGCAGATAGCATGCAAAAGGTCCCACATTCTGCCCTTGGCCTCTGTGGTTAAAGGGGTCTGGTAGCTGGCGAAGGCTCTGCCTGAGGCCTCGGAAACAGCACTGAAGTGGAAGGACAATGGTCTGACTCAGTACATGACAGCTTCATATGTCCATATGAAACACCAGACAGCATAACCACTGAGTAAATGAGCTAGTGCCCTTCTCTCTCTCTCTCTCTCTCTCTCTCTCTCTCTCTCTCTCTC